TTTTTTTTTTTTTTTTTTGAGACGGAGTTTCACTCTTGTTACCCAGGTTGGAGTGCAATGGCGCGATCTCGGCTCACCGCAACCTCCGCCTCCCGGGTTCAGGCATTTCTCCTGCCTCAGCCTCCTTAGTAGCTGGGATTACAGGCACGTGCCACCATGCCCAGCTAATTTTTTGTATTTTTTTTTTTTTAGTTGAGACGGGGTTTCACCATGTTGACCAGGATGGTCTCGATCTCTTGACCTCGTGATCCACCCGCCTCGGCCTCCCAAAGTGCTGGGATTACAGGCTTGAGCCACCGCGCCCGGCCTATTTGTTTTTTTTTTAAGACGGAGTCTCATTCTGTCGCACGTGATGCAGTGCAGTCAGGTCAATGCAATCTGTGCCTCCTAGGTTCAATCAATACTCCTGGTTCAGCTGCCCAAGGAGCTGAGATTATAGCTACCCACTATGAAACCTAGCTAACTCTTATATTTTTTTTTAGATATAAGATTTCTCCATGTTGGCCAGGTTAGTCCTGAACTACTGACCTGAGAGATCTGCCCACCTCAGCCTCCCAAAGTGCTGGGATTATAGGCATGAGCCACCATCCTGGCCTTTATATCTTATTTCCCCTTTTTTTTTTTTAGACAGAGTCTCACTCACTCTGTTGCCCAGACTGGAGTTCAGGGGGCTGACCTCAGCTCACTGCAACCTCCACCTCCTGGGTTCAAGCGATTCTTCTGCCTCAGCCTGCCAAGTATCTGGGATTACAGGCATACGCCACCATGCCCGGCTAAGTCTTGTACTTTTAGTAGAGACGGGGTTTCGCCATGTTGACCAGGCTGGTCTTGAACTCCACACCTTGTGATCTGCCCACCTCAGCCTCCCAAGGTGCTAGAATTACAGACGTGAGCCACCACGCCCAGCCTTCACATCTTATTTCTAACTACACTATTTGACCAAGTTTAGTGGTTGAACACATCCTTTTTCACTAAGGCTCCTGGGCACTCCGAGTTTGAACATCCTAGAGATAAGGACTCTGGTGTTGTACTCATTGTGTTAATCTCTGGCTTGCACCAGATCACTCATCCAGTTATAAGAAATTTGAGATGGCACACTTGTGGCTCCATGCTTGTCTTATGTCCTTGGATTTAAAGATCACACTGACAGGCCGGGCATGTAAAATATCAACCAGGCGCTGTGTCTCATGCTTGCAATCTCAGCACTTTGGGAGGCTGAGGTGGGTAGATCATTTGAGGTCAAGAGTTCAAGTCCAGCCTGGCCAACATGATGAAACCCTGTCTGTACTAAAAATACAAAAATTAGCCGGGCGTGGTGGCACGTACCTGTATTCCCGGATACTCGAGAGGCTGAGGCAGGAGAACTACTTGAACCCGGAAGTAAGAGGTTGCAGTGAGTGAAGATCATGTCATTGTACTCCAGCCTCAGTGACAGAGCAAGACTCTGTCTCAAAAAAGAAAAAAAAATTAGCCAGACATGGTCATGCGCATGTGGAGTCCCAGCTACTCAGGAGGCTGAGGCAGGAGAATCACTTGAACCCGGGAGGCAGAAGTTGCAGCGAGCTGAGATCGTGCCACTGCACTCCAGCCTAGATGACAGAGCAAGACTCCGTCTCAAAAAATTAATTAATTAATTAAATGAAAGGAGGGATAACTAGTGAGGCTCACTGTTCTGTGTACACTAAAAATTTCCCTAGGAACTCCACGGCGGCCCCAGCAACGTCAGCTCCTCCTGGTGTTACGTACCAATATCGCTGCAGTATAAAGAAGACCTTCCTCTTTCGGCTGGAGTGGTATAACCCAGCTGGTTATTAACAATCAAATGTACACTCCCACCAATTCTGAAATGTGGGAGATTGGACAGCGTGAATGTTTCAGGAACAATCCCTTGACCACAGAAAGAAGCATCGCCATGAACCTGAGTCATGAGGGAAGGGGAGGGGTGGGCAGAAAAGCAACAAAAGGGATTAAGAAATTTAGGTTTCAAGTTGGACTACATTTTTTTTTTTTTTTTTGAGACAGAGTCTTGCTCTGTCGCCCAGGCTAGAGTGCAATGGAGTGATCTCAGCTCACTGCAACCTCTGTCTTCGGGTTCAAGTAATTCTCCTGCCTTAGCCTCCCAAGTAGCCTGGATTATAGGCATGTGCTACCACGTCTGGCTAATTTTTTGTATTTTTAGTAGAGACAGGGTTTCTCCATGTTGGTCAGGCTGGTCCCGAACTCCTAACCTCAGGTGATCCACTGGCCTCTGCCTCCCAAAGTGCTGGGATTACAGACGTGAGCCACCAAGCCCAGCCTTGTTTTTCACGATTTTAAAGAAAACGTCATTTTCACCTTTTATTTCAGAAGTCAACCTTAAGATCAGCTCAATGTACGGGTAAAACTGAAGGATTAAAATAGAGTATTATAAATCATGTGAAAGGTAAACAGAATGTCTGGCTAATGATTCCAAGATTTCTATTTAGAAACACCATATAAGGCCGGGTGTGGTGGCTCACACCTGTAGTATCTACGCTTTGGTAGGACAAGGTAGGAGGGTTGCTTGAAGCCAGAAATTTGAAACCAGCTCGGCCAACATGGCAAGATCATGTTTCTACAAAATAAAATAAAATAAATCAGCCAGGTAGGATGACATGCACCTCTAGGCCTAGCTACTCAGGAGGCTGAGACAGGAAGATTGCTTGAGCCCAGGCATCTGAGGATGCAGTGAGTTATGACTGTGCCACGCACTCCTGCCTGCACAGCAGATTCAGACCCCATCTGGACAGAGAGGAAGAGAGAGACAGAGCCGGAAGGAAGGAAAAAAGGTAGGGAGGGAAGGAAGGAAGGAAGGAAGGGAGGGAGAAAGGAGGGAGGGAGGGAAGGAAGGAAGGAAGAAAAGGAGGGAGGGAGGGAGGAAGAAAGGAGGGAGGGAGGGAGGGAGCGAGGGAAGAAAGGGAGATTGTACCACTGCACTCCAGCCTAGGCAACAAAGCGAGACTCCATCTCAAAAAAAAAAGAAAAAAGAAAGTAAAGATAATAAAGTAAGCAAGAATTTGTAAAACCACTCTTGACGTCTTTTTTTACACTTCTCTTGTTAGATGTATAGACACCATGAGGTTTCCAAGAGGTCCACACTTTCAGAGAAATAATGACATCTGTGCTCTCAGAAGGAACAGGTCTACCAGCCCATACATACCCCTCAGTTAACTCATAAGTCCAGCAAGGAAAACGGCAGTGGAATCTGCAGGCTAAAGCCAGTTGCCTGAAGACTAAACCTCATGAATCTGCCGTTAGTTTTTAAACAATCCCAGAATCTTTTTCCAAAAGGTTCTCTCAGTTTCATCATGAAAGTCTCCCACCTGCTTTCAACCCTCCCAACCCACAATTCTTCCCAGTTTTCCCCACCTCTAGCCTCATTTCCAGAAGCTCCAAGTACCTGTAAGCAAATGACTCTGTCCCCCGGCTGGGCCATGCTGTCCGGAGAGTAGTCCCCATCTTGGCGTGACTGCTGCCTGCCACGAGTTTTGCCCACGGCCACAGGGTTGACAGCCTCCAGGTGTGAGGGATTGGGCAGCATCGTCACGTGGAGGGGATGGTGCGCCCCGAAGTCCAGGTCCACAGAGGAGGTCAGGTGAGACAGGACATCTCCAGTGGCTGAGAAATTCTCTGGAAATTCACTTAAGCCTCGCATTTTGCGGAACATCAGCTATCGTGGGTACACATAAAAGGAAAAAAATGGCATTCATTACAATGGAGACTAGTGAAGAAGAAGTGGTTCGCTAAAATCACACAATAAAAAATAAATTTCAAGGCCAGGAGTGGCTTGAATTACAGATAGCTCACACCTGTAATTCCAGCACTTTGAGAGACAGAGGCGGGAAGATCACTTGAGGTCAGGAATTCAGGAACAGCCCGACCAACGTGGCGAAACCCCGTCTCTATTAAAAATACAAAAAATTAGCCAGGCATGGCGGCAGGCCCCTGTAATCTCAGCTAGTTGAGAGGCTGAGGCATGAGAATCACTTGAACCTGGGAGGCAGAGGTTGCAGTGAGCCGAGATCACGCCATTGCCCTCTAGTCTGGGTGACAGAGCAAGATTTGTCTCAAATAAATAAGAGTACATGGAAAATCAATCCAAATACCAGCTCTGTCAATTAACTAAGCTGTCTAAGCTACCTTGGACCAATTGCTCGTATGCTTAGTTGCCTTTCCTCTTCTTTTCTGAGACAGGATCTGGGTCTGTCTTCCAGGATGCAGGGCAGAGGCACAATCTCAGCCCTCTGCAGCCTCTGTCTCCTGGACTCAAGAGATCTCCCATTCCAGCCTCCTGAGTAGCCAGAACCATAGGTGTACCACCTAATTTCTTTGTTTGTAGAGTCCATGCCACCATGCCTTCTAATCTTTATTTTTGTAGGGACAGTTTTGTGTTTTTTTTTTTTTTTTTTTTTTTTGAGACAGAGTTTCACTCATGTTACCCAGGCTAGAGTGCAATGGCGCAATCTTGGCTCACCGCAACCTCCGCCTCCCGGGTTCAGGCAATTCTCCTGCCTCAGCCTCCTGAGTAGCTGGGATTACAGGCATGCACCACCATGCCCAGCTAATTTTTTGTATTTTTAGTAGAGACGGGGTTTCACCATGTTGACCAGGATGGTCTCGATCTCTTGACCTTGTGATCCACCCACCTTGGCCTCCCAAAGTGCTAGGATTACAGGCTTGAGCCACCGCGCCCGGCCTTTGTTTTGTTTTTAAGACGGGGTTTCACCATGTTGGTTAGGCTGGTCTTGAACTCCCGACCTCAGGTGATCCGCCCGCCTTGGCCTCCAAAGTGCTCGGATTACAGGAGTGAGCCACCATGCCCGGCTGTGGGGACAGTTTTGCAAGGTTGCCCAAGCTGGTCTTGAACTCCTGGACTCAGGCACTCCTCTTGCCTCAGCTTCCCAAAGTGCTGGCATTACAGGTGTGAGCCACCTTGCCCAGCCTTAGTTGGCTCCCTAAAAGGAATGATGACCATGAGTTCTACTTTTTAAAATTATTTCTATTCAGGTAGCATCTTGCTTTGTTGCCCAGGCTAGAGTGCAGTGGTGAGATCATAGCTCACTGCAGCCTCAAACTCTTGGGTTCAAGTGATCCTCTGGCCTCAGTCTCCTGAGTCGCAGGGAACACAGGTGCATGCCACCATGCTTAGCTAACTTATTTTATTTTGAGTAGAGACAAAGTGTCACTTTGTTGTGCAGGGTGATCTCAAACTCCTAGGTTCAAGCCATCCTCCTGCCTGAGCCTCCCAACAGACTGGGATTACAGGTATAGCCACTGTGCCCAGCCATCACCATCACCATCACCATCACCATCCTTTGTCACCAGAATAAAACCAGCAGTTTTGGCTGGGCGCAGTGGCTCATGCCTGTAACCCCAGCACTTTGGGAGGCCGAAGTAGGTAGATCAATTGAGGCCAGGAGTTCGAGAGCAGCTTGGCCAACATGGTGAAACCCCATCTCTTAAAATATATATATATATATATATTTATTTAAAACCAGCAGTTTTATTCTGTTACAATCAATCGTATAGTGCTAGTAAGAAACACAGCAAGTAAGCTTACCTCTGGCGGGAACTGCAGTAGGCCTGTCAATAAATTCAGCCTCCCTCTATGGGGCATCCCAATGATGACATCAGTGATCCCACTGTAGGCTGACATCTTCAGCAGCTCATGGAAAAAGCCCATCATGCTTTCAGCACCTTCGCCTCCATATCGCTTCACTGTGGAGAACTTGGTGGCCAGAAAGTGGTCAAACTCCTGCAGAACATCACAGCAGATGTGAGCTGCCAGGGGAACATCACAGCCAGCTTCTCCAGTGGAAGGCAGGTGAGTCTGTGTGTGTTGTGAGATGGCCCCACATTCCCCAAGTGACCATAGCAGTGACACTTCACTACATATCCCGGAGAGGCATAACAAGGACATAGCAGGATGGCTTTCCAGGGATCCCAGTCAGCAGGAGGGGCCAAGGAAAATGGCCTGAGTGGCAGAATAACTTGCCCCTGGCCGGGCGCGATGGCTCACACCTATAATCCCAGCTCTTTGGGAGGTCAAGGAGGGCAGATCATGAGGTCAGGAGTTCAAGACCAGCCTCACCAACATGATGAAATGCCTTAATAAAAATATAAAAATTAGCTGGACGTGGTGGCGGGTACCTGTAAGCCCAGCTACTCGGGAGGCTGAGGCAAGAGAATCACTTGAACCCGGGAGGGGAGGCTGCAGTTAGCTGAGATCACATCACTGTACTCTAGCCTGGGTGACAGAGCAAGACTCTGTCTCAAAAAAAAAAAAAAATTACAAAAAAGAATTAGATGGGTGTGGTGACACACGCCTGTAGTACCAGCTACTCAGGAGGCTGAGGCAGGAGAATCACTTGAACCCGGGAGGTGGAGGTTGCAGTGAGCTGAGATCACACCACTGCACACCAGCCTGGCAACAGAGTGAGACTCTATTTCAAAAAAATAAATAAATAAAAATAAGACTTCAAGAAGTAAGGATTTGGCTGGGTGTGGTGGCTCACGCCTGTACTATAAGCACTTTGGAGGCTAAGGCGGGCGGATCACCTGAGGTCGGGAGTTCAAGACCAGCCTGACCAACATGGGGCACCCCCTCCTGTGACAATTAAAAAAACCAAAATAAATATTTTTTTTTGTGTGTTTTTTTTTGATTTTTTTTTTTTTCTTTTTTTTTTTTAAGACGGAGTCTCACTCTGTTGCCCAGACTGGAGTGCAGTGGTACAATCTCAGCTCATTGAAACCTCTGCCTCCCAGATTCAAGTGATTCTTCTGCCTCAGCTTCCCAAGTAGCTGGGACTACAGGTATGCTCCACCATGTCCGGCTAATTTTTTGTATTTTTTTTAGTGAAGACAAGGTATCACTATGTTAGCCAGGCTGGTGTCAAACTCCTGACCTCAAGCAATATGCCCATGTCAGCCTCCCAAAGTGCTGGGATGACAGGTGTGAGCCACTGTGCCCAGTCAGAAGTAAGGTCTTAAGGATCTTGTCACCTTTTATGGAGTGAGTAGACACATACCCGAGAAGTATTTTGACTCTGAGGAGAGCCAATAGGTCAATATTTCGGCAATCAACATTTTCCTGCTTAGAATAAAGTGATATGCTCAGAACAAGGATCTCCAAGGAAAAATAAAAGAATAAAATAGTGCGGGTGTTATATGATCTGTTGTGTCGAAGTAATGAGGGGTGAACGGGGGTAAGTGCAGAGCTAATGGCCCAATTCCCTCTCTTCAGTAGTTATATATCTTATTTTTTTTTTTTTTTTTTTTTTGAGATGGAGTCCAGCTCCATCACCAGGCTGGAGTTCAGTGGCACCATCTTAGCTCACTGCGACCTCCACCTCCCAGGTTCAAGCGAGTCTCCTGCCTCAGCCTACTGAGGAGCTGGGATTACAGGTGCACACCACCACGTCCAGCTAATTTTTGTATTTATAGTAGAGACAGGGTTTCACCATGTTGGCCAGGCTGGTCTCAAACTCCTGACTTCATGGTCCGCCTGCCTGCCTCAGCCTCCCAAAGTGCTGGGATTATAGGCGTGAGCCACAGCCCTGCCTTTTTTTTTTTTTTTTTTTTTTTGAGGGTTTTTTTTTTTTTTTTTTTTTTTTTTTTTTTTCAGTAGTGCGATCTCAGCTCACTGCAGCCTCCACCTCCCAAGTTCCAGGGATTCTCATGCCTCATCCTCCTGACTAGCTGGGATTACAGGTGTGCACCACCATGCCTTGCTAACTCTTGTATTTTCAGTAGAGACGAGGTTTCCCTATGTCTGCCAGGCTATATATCTTTATAGGCAATGAGCTGACCTCTGCCCTTGCTATTAGATGCTCCTTTTTACCTGAGATTCCAGCATTAGTTTCGACAGATGTTTCTGCTCTTCTGTGGTAAATGTCTCCCTTTGCACTTCCTCAAACCGGCTGCCAAACCAGTCTTTCTCCTCCTGGCTCTGAAGTTGGGAGGTTTCAATAGAAATCTGCCCACAGTAGATTTGATTGAGATAGACTAACACTTCTGCAAGTGAGGCTTCTTCTTTCCCCATGTTCAATAATCCTGTGAAATACAATCAAAGGGGTCATTTTAAAAAATAATCAATCATGTAGCAAGTTAACTCTGGAACATACCAAAATAATTACTTCAACGCACAGTGCTTTGCTCTTTTTTCTTTTTTTTTTTTAATTGACACAGTGTCTCACTCTGTTTCCCAGCCTCCAGGCTGGAGTGCAATGATGCGATCTTGGCTCACTGCAACCTCTGCCTCCTGGGTTCAATTGATTCTCCTGCCTCAGCCTCTCTAGTAGCTGGGATTACAGGCACCCGCCACTACAGGCACCCACCACTATGCCCAGCTAATTTTTTTTTTTTTTTTTTTAGTAGAAACCGGGTTTCACCATTTTAGTCAGGCTGGTCTCGAACTCCTGACCTCAGGTGATCCACCCATCTTGGCCTCCCAAAGTGCTGGCATTTACAGGCATGAGCCACTGCGCCCAGCCGAGTGTTTTGTTCTTAATAACTTGGGTCATTATTAATGCTTATCTAGATTTTTTTCTGAAGGAAAGACTAAAAATATGGTCAAAGGTCATGAAGTAGTAAAACTAGGAAGGAGAGACCCCCACTTCCTTCACAAGAACAGATCCTGTTGCTTTATGCCAAGTGTTGATTCTACAGTACTTTGCTTTTTTTGGTGACAGAGTTTTTGCTCTTGTTGCCCAGGCTTGAGTGCAGTAGCACCATCTTGGCTCACTGCAACCTCTGTCTTACAGGTTCAAGTGATTCTCCTGCCTCAGCTTCCCGAGTAGCTGGGATTACAGGTGTGCACCATCATGTCTGGCTAACTTTTGTAGTTTTAGTAGAGACAAGGTTTCACCATGTTGGCCAGGCTGGTCTCCAACTCCTGACCTCATATGATCCTCTTGCCTCGGCCTCCCAAAGTGCTGAGATTACAGGCATGAGCCACTGCACCAGGCCCTAAAGTTTACTTTATATTGCTTAGTAAGCTTGCCCAACCCACAGCCCACAGGCTGCAAGTGGCTCAGGACAGCTTTGAATGTGGCCCAACATGGATGAGTAAACTTTCTTAAAACATTGTGAGATTTTCAGGGGCTGGGCGCAGTGGCTCATGCCTGTAATCCCAGCACTTTGGGAGGCTGAGGCAGGTAGATCACGAGGTCAGGAGTTCGAGACCAGCCTGGCCAACATGGTGAAACCCCATCTCTACTAAAAATACAAAAATTAGTTGGGCGTGGTTGCGGGCACCTGTAATCCCAGTTACTTGGGAGGCTGAGGCAAGAGAACTACTTAAAACAGGAAGGTAGAGGTTGTTGTGAGCCAAGATTACGCTACTGCACTCCAGCCTGGGCAACAGAGTGAGACTCAGTATCCAAAAAAAAAAAAAAAAAAAAAATTGTGAGATTTTCTTTGCAATTTTTTTAAGCTCATTAGCTATCACTGGTATTAGCATATTTTACATGGCCCAAGACAATTCTTCTTCCAATGTGGCCCAAAAAAGCCAAAAGATTGGACAGTTATGGCTTATGGTTTCTTACTACAAGTTTATTGTATTTTTTTTTTTTTTTTAAGATGGGGTTTCACCATGATGGCCAGGCTGGTCTTGAACTCCTGACCTCAGGTGACCCATCCATCTCGGCCTCCCAAAGTGCTAGGATTACAGGCGTGAGCCACTGTGCCTGCCTATTGTATTTTTTTTTTTTTAATAAAAGTATTTAAAGTATTGGCCTTTGAGGGAGTCAGATGCATCACCACTATATTCCAACTGAGCCACGAATCATGTAGCTTCATGTTTTCTACATTTACTGGTTTGCTTTTATGAGGCGCTGAAGAATCAGTTCTTTCTGCAGAGGTTCAAGAAAAGGGCCTTTGGAGGCCCATCTCAGAAAAAAAAAGAGAGAGAGAGAGACAACTACCATCTTGCAAAGCCCAGGTAACCCTCAGAACCCTAAGAGACACTAAAATGATTGTTGAGGATTTAAAAGCCATTACACCTTGGGGTAATTTATTACACAGCATTAGGCGACTGAAGCATGACTCATTGATACACATAATCAGAACTTGATATTTGCAAGATTAACTTTAAAAAGTAACATGAGGTAGGATCCTGAAATCATGACGGATGATGCAGGCCCAACTTTTTCTAAGTTCCCAGGCTGGGAGAGAAAATAGAATGAGGGGGTGCAGGCTTTGGAAGGGAAGCATCCCTGGATGTCCCCCACTCTGCCACTGAGCTGCTAGGGTTACAGAAGTTCTCTGAGTTAGTTTCTCCATCTACACAATAAAGAGAACAATAACTACTTTTCGGAGTGGTTTTGAGAATAAATTAACATATGTTAAGCACAGGGTACTTTAGAGTTCAAAGTTTTTTGTTTGTTTGTTTTCTTCAGACAGGGTCTCCAAACTCTGTTGCCCCAGCTGGAATGCAGAGGCACGATCAAGGCTCATTGCGGCCTTGACTTCCCAGGCTCAAGAGATCCTCTCATCTCAGCTTCCTGAGTACCTGCAACTGCAGGCGTGCGCCCCATGCCCAGCTACTTTTGTGCTCTGTGTGTGTGTGTGTGTGTGTGTGTGTGCGCGCGTGCAGACAAGAGTTTCACTATGTTGCCCAGGTTGGTCTCAAACTCCTGGGCTCAAATGATCCTCCCACCCTGGGCTCCCAAAATGCTGGGATTATGGGTGTCAGCTACTGCATCCAGCCAACTCAATGTCTGTGAACCTTGAGAAAACAGGCCTCGTCAGAACTTCTGGAATCCCAAGAACGCTCCTCCCTGACCGTACTTCAACGTGCCCCTCTGGTCTCCTCACACCTGTGGAAGGCTCAGCTCGGGCAAAGATGGCGCTTCTTCAAGAACAGAGGCAGGGCCCCTGCCTGGTGTGCACCTCCGAGCTCCCGCCTGCAGCGGGCAGCACCCATACCTGCCGTGTGGAAGGGTCCCTGCAGCGTCTGCACCAGGGCTTGGATTTCAGGCACGTTCTCCAGCAGGGCTTGTCCAGTGAAGAGGGGGTTGATTTTCGCAGCTTTATGACCATGCTCACGATATACTGTCACCAACCTGGCCAGACCATGATCAGCTAAATCAGGGGAAAATTCAAAAATACAAACAGTTTAGGAGATGACTGCAAATCACAAAAATCAGCTTTTCAAAGAAGCTCTTACAGCCCTAGGCACTTATTATTTATTTATTTATTTTAGAGACAGGGTCTTGCTCTGTCACCAGGCTGGAGTGCAATGGCACAATCTTGGCTAACTGCAACCTCTGCCTCCCAGGTTCAGGCGATTCTTCTGCCTCAGCCTCCTGAGTGGCTGGGACTATAGGCGTGTACCACCACACCTGGCTAATTTTTTTTTTTTTTTTTGGTAGAGATGGACATTTACCATGTTGCCCAGGCTCATCTTGAATCCCCGGGCTCAAGCGATTCACTTACCTTGGCCTCCCAAAGAAGGCCAAGAAACACATTTTCACAATTTGTGCTTTATTTTCAGAACCCAAAGACAATTGTTAGCATATTTTGAATTGTTTTTTTTTTTTTTTTTTTTTTTCAGAGACGAAGTCTTGCTCTGTTGCCTAGGCTGGATGCAGTGGCGCAATCTCGGCTTACTGCAACCTCCGCCTCCTGGGTTCAAATAATTCTCTGCTTCAACTCCCGAGTAGCTGCAATTACAGGTACGTGCCACCACGCCTGGCTAATTTTTGTGGGTTTTTTTGATGTTGTTTTGTTTTTGTTTTTCTGAGATGGAGTCTCGCTCTGTCGCCAGGCTGGAGTGCAGTAGCACAATCTTGGCTCATTGCAACCTCTGCTTCCCAGGTTCAAGAGACTCTTCTGGCTCAGTCTCCTGAGTAGCTGGGATTACAGGCACATGACACCACACCCAGATAATTTTTATATTTTTAGTAGAGACGGGGTTTTACCATGTTGCCCAGGCTGGTCTCGAACTCCTGACCTCAGATGATCCGCTAGCCTTGGCCTCCCAAAGTGCTGGGATTACAGAGGTGAGCCACAGCACCTGGCCCACTGATTCTATTTCTAACTACTCACTAGCCAGGCTGCTAATGATACTCTAGAACACTGACACAGGAGTTGGCACAAAAGAACCTTGCTTGTCCCAAAAGAACATGAGGCATGTAGCAGTTTGGCACCGGCAGAGAGAAAGTCCTCTCCCACATCAGGAACTTCCTCCATCACCCTGGTAACCCGTGCTCCCGCAGACCACCATTTCTTTGGGAGTTTCTTCATCCACCAACCGTATTTCCAACCCCTTCCCTCTCTGCCTCCAGCCCTTCCACCGAGACCTCTGCACTAGGTTTCATCAAGAACAAACCTCCCTGAACGTTCCTCACACTCTAGGCTTCGTCAGAACTTGGCTGTGCCCAGAGAGCTCAAGTACAAGGTGAAGCTACACAGTGACCCTCACCTGCACCCTCCAATCTTGAAGACAAAGGCAGGTCCTCCTCATTCTTCACTGACATCTCCCTATCATTAGTTCTCTCTTTATAAAACCCAAGTCCTCTGATGGACAAGCAATGGCACTAACTCATCTCCAGTTGCTGAGAGCCATTAAAAAATAATATTGTAGGCTGGGCACAGTGGCTCACACCTGTAATCCCAGCACTTTGGGAGGCTGAGGCGGGGGGATAACGAGGTAAGGAGTTCAAGGCCAGCCTGGCCAACATAGTGAAACCCCATCTCTACTAACAATAGTAGATGAGGATGGTGGCATGTGCCTGTAGTCACAGCTACTCGGGAGGCTGAGACAGGAGAATCACTTGAACCCAGAAGTTGGAGGTTTCAGCGAGTCAAGATCTCGCCACTGCACTTCAACTTGGGTGACAGAGTGAGACTTCGTCTCAAAAATAATACTAATAATAATATTGTAGAAGAATGATTAATGAAAAAGCATCAAGACTTAAGGAATGGCTGGGTGCGGTGGCTCATGCCTATAATCCCAACACTTTGGGAGGCTGAGGCGGGCGGATCACCTGAAGTCAGAGTTTGAGACCAGCCTGGCCCACAGGGTGAAACCCTGTCTCTATTAAAAATAAGAAAATTAGCCAGGTGTGGTGGCAAGCGCTTGTAATCCCAACTATTCGGGAGACTGAGCCAGAAGAATCACTTGAATCCAGGAGGTGGAGTTTGCAGAAAGCTGAGATCATACCACTGCACTCCAGCCTGGGCCACAGAGTGAGACTGTCTCAAAAAACAAGTAAACAAACAAAATTAGCTGGGCATGGTGGCGTATGCTTGTAGTCCCAGCTACTTGGGAGGCTAAGGCAGGAGGATCACCTGAGGTCAAGGCTGGAGTAAGCTATGATCATGTCACTGCACTCCAGCCTGGGCAAGAGAGCAAGACCCTGTCTCAAGAAAAAAATAAAAAATGTTTAGCTTTGTTGGGTCTGGGTTTGTGCTCCAGAATTAGCTATATTTTCAAAAATCTCTCATGCATTCAGGTTTTCTTCAAATGTTTTTTCTATGACTCCAGTAAAGGCTCCTCTCATTCTCAATACGCAACATCTCTACAACCTCACTTCAGCTACCAAACTCAGTAACAAAGGAAGTAACCAATAACCTGAAAACCCGTGGCTACCATCTCCTGAGGGTCTCCAAATTCTGTCATTTTTCATAATAGAGGGCTCATATCCTCTGTGATAAAATGTACACCCGTGAATCATTGCAGTGTACATTTTAAACCCACCTCCATTTCAAATTGGCATTGTTAATAAATTCAAGTTTCCGTGGAAACCGAGGTTGACAGAGGTAAAAGTATAAGCTATTACGAATAGCTAGTTACAAAGAACACTCATCATGGGTCAAATTTTAACTGGTGAAACCACTGCCATCCAAAAGGTTATTAGAGGCAAATTCAATATCTATTTAATTATTTATTTTTACTTATTTATTTATTTATTTGTTGAGACAGAGTCTTGCTCTATCACCCAGGCTGGAGTGCAGTGGCGTGATCTCACCTCACTGCAACCTCGGCCTCCCAGGTTCAAGTGATTCTCCTGCCTCAGCCTCCCGAGTAGCTTGGACCACAGGCACCAGTTACCACGTCTGGTTAATTTTGATATTTTTAGTAGAGACAGGGTTTCACCATGTTGGCCAAGCTGGTATCCAACTCCTGATCCAGATGATCCTCCCGCCTTGGCCTCCCAAAGTGCTGAGATTACAGGCATGAGCCACCGTGCCTGGCCTACTTATTTTTTGAGATACTTTTGCTCTGTCACCCAGGCTGGAGTGCAATGGCACTCCACTGCAACCTCTGCCTCCCAGGTTCAAGTAATTCTCATGTCTCAACCTCCCAAGTTTAGTAGCTGGGACTTACAGGTGTGCACCACCACACTCGGCTAATTTCTGTATTTTTTTAGTAGAGATGGGGTTTCACCATGTTGGCCAGGCTGGTCCTTAACTCCTGGCCTCAAGAGATCCTCCCATCTCAGCTTCCCAAAGTGCTGGGATTATAGGCATAAGCCACCAAGCCCAGCCTCATATCTGTGTAAAGCCTTAATAAGGCCAGACATGATATCTCACACCTGTAGCACTTTGAGAGGCTGAGGCAGGCGGATTGCCTGAGCTCAGGAATTCAAGACCAGATTAGGCAACACTGTGAAACCCTGTCTCTACTAAAATACAAAAAAAAAAAAAAAAAAAAAAAAAAAAAGTACCTGGGTGTGGTGGCGTGGGCCTCTAGTCCCAGGTACTTGGAAGGCTGAGGTAGGAGAATCGTTTGAACCCAGGAGGTGGAGGTTACAGTGAGCCAAGATCGTGCCACAGCACTCCAGCCTAGGTGACCAGCCTGGGTGACAGTGAGATTCCATCTCCAAAAAAAAAAAAAGCCTTAATAAAAGGGAAGTCTTAGTGAATTATGTGGTCCTCCTATGTAAACATGTATTTTAGTCAAGATAAATATATGAAGAAAGAAGGCCAGCAAAGGACAGAGAGGGGCAGGAAGGTCTATAACACTGACTGTATCTCCTCCCACTTCACTGTTGGTCACCTCTGATGTAGGAGACGCCATGGGTCCATTTCCAGTAGGATTTGTCCTTTGACTTAATTTGCCAATACCAAAAAAGTGATGTATGTGATCCATGGCACCAAAATTCCTCTCAACCAAGAGGCTACTTTTTAGGGTAACTGGCAGATATCACAGAAAAGACTAAATCATTCAAATTCTCAACCTCCTGGTCTAATGCCTAGAACTGACCATATGCCAGTCTCAACTGTTACCATCAGCAAAAAAGAAGTTATTCTAAAACAGTAAGAGCTGGGCGCAGTGGCTAATGCCTTTGATCTCAACACTTTGAGAGGCTGAGATGGGAGCACCACTTGAGTCCAGAAGTTTGAGACCATCCTAGGCAACATAATGAGACTCCATCTCTACAAAACACTTCTTAAAAATTAGCCATGCGGCCGGGCGCAGTGGCTCACACCTGTAATCCCAGCACTTTGGGAGACCAAGGTGGGCAGATCACCTGAGGTCAAGAGTTCGAGACCATCCTGAGGGAGGCTGAGGCAGGAGAATCGCTTGAACCCAGGAGGCAGAGGTTGCAATGAGCCAAGATTGCGCCATTGCACTCCAGCCTGGGCAACAAGAGGAAAACTCCACCTCAAAAAAAAAAAAATTAGCCACACATGCTGGCATGCCACGCACCTGTAGTCCCAGCTACCTGGGAAGCTGAGGTCACTTGAGCCCCAGAAGTTGAGGCTGTAGTGAGCTGTGATTGCACCACTGCACTCCAGACTAGATGACATAGCAAGACCTCATCTCAAAAAATAAAAATGGACCAGGCACAGTGGCTCATATCTGTAATCCCAGCACGTTAGGAGGCCAAGGTGGGCAGATCACAAAGTCAGGAGTTTGAGACCAGCCTGGCCAACATGATGAAACCCCGTCTCTATTAAAAATACAAAAATTAGGCCGGGCGCGGTGGCTCACGCCTATAATCCTAGCACTTTGGGAGGCCAAGGCGGGTGGATCACGAGGTCAAGAGATCGAGACCATCCTGGTCAACAGATCGAGATCATCCTGGTCAACAAGGTGAAACCTCGTCTCTACTAAAAATACAAAAATTAGCTGGGCATGATGGTGCGTGCCTGTAGTCCCAGCTACTCAGGGGGCTGAGGCAGGAGAATTGCTTGAACCCAGGAGGCGGAGGTTGCGGTGAGCCGAGATCGCGCCCTTGCACCCCCGTTTGGGCAACAAAAGCGAAACTCTGTTTCCAAAAAAAAAAAAAAAAAAAAAAAAAATTAGCCTGGTGTGGTGGCATGCGCCTATAGTCCCTGCTATTCAGGAGGCTGAGTACAAGAATCACTTGATCCTGGAAGGTGGAGGTTGCAGTGAGCTGAGATCATGCCACTGCACTTCAGTCTGGGCAACAGAGTGAGACTCTGTCTCAAAAAAAAAAAGCTGGGGGTACTCTCTGTGGCCCTGGCAAGGTTGAACAAGTAGAAGCAATTAGAAGAGGCTGTCTTAGTACCCTCAACCTCTCTTCACCATTTAGGAGTATTCTCTGTTAGACAATGAGCCAGCTCAGCCTTAATGATCAGATGAAAGGTGTGGGCTTCCCACACAAGCCTATTGTTTCAGATGGTCTCAAGGTAAACTCCATTATGTTTAGACAGCTGAATGGTAAACCACAGAAGCAGCAAATAAAAGACCAGCATTTTCAGGCTTCAAAATTCTGTCAAGTTGAGATATTTGACTGTGGCAACCTGCTTATAGAATCACCAGAAACAGGGCCAGGCGCGGTGGCGCATGCCGTAATCACAGCACTTTGGGAGGCCAAGGTGGGCAGATCATCTGAGGTCATGAGTTCAAGACCAGCCTGGCCAACATGGTGAAACCCTGTCTCTACTAATAATACAAAAATTAGCTGGGCGCGGTGGCTCATGCCTGTAATCCCAGCACTTTGGGAGGCCGAGGCAGGTGGATCACGAGGTCAAGAGATCGAGACCATCCTGGTCAACATGGTGAAACCCCGTCTCTACTAAAAATACAAAAAATGAGCTGGGCATGGTGGTGCGTGCCTGTAATCCCAGCTACTCAGGAGGCTGAGGCAGGAGAATTGCCTGAACCCAGGAGGCAGAGGTTGTGGTGAGCCAAGATCGCGCCATTGCACTCCAGCCTGGGTAACAAGAGTGAAACTCCGTCTCAAAATAATAATAATAATAATAATAATAATAATAATACAAAAATTAGCTGGGCATGGTGGCAAGGTGCCTGTAATCCCAGCTACTTTGGAGGCTGAGGCAGGAGAATCGCTTGAACCAGGAAGACAGAGGTTGCAGTGAGCGAAGATTGTGCTCTGCACTCCAGCCTGGGCAACAGAGCCAGACTCCGTCTTAGGGGAAAAAAAAAGAGGGAGAGAGAAAGAGATAAGTTTTATTTTAAATGCCCTCCAAAGTGAAGAGCAAAATATTGAAGTTCCAGTGTGTGATTGATGCAAGATTCAAAGGTCAGGTGCCCAGAAGATAAAGGGGATCTTCAATGTTCATCTAATAAACAGATCAAAGATGCCAAATGATTTTCCTCTATTAAGCAATCTGCATTTATCTTCTACTCCGTGAGGATGAATAATGATACAATAATTTTAGAGCATAAAGCAAGTACTCAAAATTAGTCTTGCAAATGAGTATGCAACGTAAGTTCCAAAAACTGATAATCATGACTGTTAATTCACTAAAACGATCAGCACATATCAAGGTGTCAATAGAGTGGCTAAAAGAAAAAAAAAAGCTCATCAGCACACAGTTCCAAATTCAGCAAACAGTTAAACTCTGAAATTAAAGTAACAGACTAGCTACAAGGAGACAACGATAATAAATAGCATGCTGTCTTCCCAGACTGGAACTAACTGCCCACTTCTCCCAGGCAGCACAGTCTTGGACCCCCCATCTGCTCACATAAAAGCCTCAGAGATGGTCCTGGAAATGTATCGTTCGGAGGCCTTAAAACTTGACTTCTCCCACAGTCACGCCTCATTAAAGAGTTGGTTTTCCAAGCTGGGTACAGTGGCTCAGCCTGTAATCCCAACACATTGGGAGGCCAAGGCTGGAGGATCAGCTTGAGCTCAGGAGTTCAAGATCAGCCTGGGCAATGTGGTGGGATCCCATCTCTAGTAAAAATGATTAAAAAAAAAAAAAGGCCGGGTGCGGTGGCTCACGCCTGTAATTCCAGCACTTTAAGAGGCCAAGGTGGGTGGATTGCCTGAGGTCAGAAGTTCAAGACCAGTCTGGCCAACATGGTGAAATCCGGTCTCTATTAAAAATACAAAAAATTAGCCTGGCATGGTGGCATGTCAGAACGAGACTGTCTCAAAGAAGAAGAAAAAAAAAAAAAAAAAAAAATCCAGGCGTGGTCGTACCTCTGTCCCCAGCTACTCAGGAAGCTGAGGTGGGAGGATCGCTTGAGCCCAGGAGTTCGAGGCTGCAGTGAGCTGCGGTCGCAGCCTTGCACCCAGCTTGAGGGACAGAGCGAGATCCTCTTACGAAAACAATAAAAATAGAAAAATCGAATTAGTCTCTCACACGTTTCCAACAAAGGAAAGAAAAGCCCTTCCAAAACCAGGTCTGGACCAGCAAGATGGGGAGACCACCCAAGCGGGGACCTCAAGAATCCTCAGTGCAGAGGCTGGACGAGGGATGACCCCGACACTGAGCACCCACGCCCACCCTCTGTTCTCCTTACCTCCCCCTCCTCCCTACGGGCCGCGCGTTCAGGCCGGCGGCTGGCTCCCCGACCCCGACACCCCACCGCAAGTCGGCCAGGGAGGCTTCGGCATCCCAACCCCCGCTCCCACCGCCCGGGGCCCATCCCCGACCTGGGGGGCTCTCCAGGGCGCCCAGGGCCTCGCGTCTCTCGGGCTTCCTCGGCCGGTAGCCATAAACGCCCCGCTCGGTCTGGTAGCTGCGACAGAGGAGAGGCGGGACCCGGCCAAGGCCCCGTCGTGCTGCAGCCACAGTGGCCGAGGCCATGTCCACCGGGTCTCCCGGCCGGGACGCGGAGGCGGGAGGCCCAGAGGGTCCCAGCCGGCCTTAGGAAATCCGGGACTCGCCAAGAGGAGGCTGGAGCCCCGCCCCCAGACAACGCCCCCGCGCCTGATTGGCCGAGGGGCTGGATCCTCGAAGCCAATCCGAGGCAAAGGCACAAGCAGCGAACCACGCTCAGGATTGGGGGCGGGACCCCAGGGCGGTGCGGGCAGCTGAGACCGCTGTGCTCCCGCACAAAGGGGATTTAAGTGTCCCGCCGGGCGGGACCTGCTCCTGATAACGAAACTGGATGTAGCTGAAGCGCCTACAGTCTCCCGCCAGGAGTGTTCAACCATCATGCCTCTGCCCAACCGCATAGACACAGTCTAGGTGGTCTGTTACAGAAAGGACAAATTAGCCACAGGGTGGATAGGAAGTGACTGGGACTGAGACCAAGAGACACAAAAAGGAAAGGTTATTTGGGGCAGCTAGAAAATCAATATCCCTATTTTTTTTGTTTTCTTAAGAAATATTAAGAGAGGCAGGGAGCGGTGGCTCACGTCTGTCTGTAATCCCAGCACTCTGGGAGGCCAAGGCGGAAGTCAGGAGTTCGAGACTAGCCTGGCCAACATGACAAAACCTTGTTTCTACTTAAAATATAAAAATTAGCCTGGCGTGGTGGCAGGTGCCTGTGGTCCCAGCTACTCGGGAGGCTGAGGCAGGAGAATTGCTGAAACCCGGGAGGTGGAGGTTGCACTGAGCCGAGACCGTGCCACTGAACTCCAGCCTGGGCAACAAGAGCGAAACTCCGTCTCAAAAAACAAGAAACAAATAAAAAAGAAACAGTAAAAGAGAAAGAAGGGAATAAAGGGAGCAGAGAAGAAAGTGATAGGATTCCAAATAAATTGGACATGAACTATTAGAGCAGCATAGAGACATTCAAGATTGGCCGGGCGCAGTGGCTCACACCTGTAATCCCAACATTTTGGGAGGCCCAGGTGAGCGGATCATCTGAGGTCAGGAGTTCCAGCCTGGACAACACGGTGAAAACCCATCTCTACAAAAAATACAAAAATTAGCCAGGCGTGGTGGCACTTGCCTGTAATCACAGTTATTTGGGAGGCTGAGGCAGGAGAATCACTTGAACTCAGGAGGGGGAGGCTGCAGTGACCCATGACTGTGCTGCTGTACTCCAGCCTGGGTGACAAAGTGAGGCTCTGTCTCAAAAAAAAAAAAGCAATATCCTCAGTTGATATGTCTCTGAGTTTCCCAAATGATTCTTTTCTGTGGCTTACCTTTAACTTTGCCAGTATGGTAGGGGAGACAGACTGCATCCTTACCTTGTCAGCTATCCTTCATTCCAATAAGGTATGTAGCTATACCCCAAACTCCTAGGAATATTATACATACAAGCCCAAGACATCCTTCTTCCTTACTCATTCAACCAGTATTCTCATAAAGCACTCTGCCAGGTTACAAAGATTAATAAGGCGCAGTTTCTGCCCTTAGTCCCAGTCTAGCTGTATATAGAACTCAACACACAGGGTGACAGATTCTATGATGCAGGCACGTGTAGGTGCCTCCTGCAAGCACAGCTACCGTAGTTGGGGACCCTTTGGTCTGCATTTCGGCAGTCTCCTCATCTTGCTATTTTGGATCTGGCTTTGGAAGGGGTTGCCTTTTTTTTTTGAGACTGAGTCTCACTCTGTCACTGAGGCTGGAGTGCAGTGGCGCAATCTCGGCTCACTGCAACCTCCATCTCTGGGGTTCAAGCAATTCCCCTGCTTCAGCCTCCCTAATAGCTGGGATTATAGATGTGCGCCACCACGTCCAGCTAATTTTTTGTATTTTTAATAGAGATGGGGTTTCACCATGTTGGCCAGGCAGGTCTCCAACTTCTGATCTCAAGCGATCCACCCACCTTGGCCTCCCAAAATGCTGGGCAGGCGTGAGCCACCGCGCCTGGTTGGGCTTGTCTTTTATTCCTTGGTCATGAACCTGTGGAAACCTAGCTCTTTGGACAGGTGGGGCTGTGGGAAAAGGAACTTTCTGAGAGCTGAGTGTGTTACAGGAACCTCCAAGTGGAAGGGACATTCGAACAGAATCTTGAGGCATGAGGAGTTAGGCAAATGCACAAAGACAAGAGCACACCAGGAAGATGGCAGTGAAGAGCGGATATGGGATAACTGGATGATTCAAAGAGCTTTGAGCAGAAAGGAGCGGGTAATTACAGGATCAATGTCCCTGGAGCTGATTGCAATGAAAAGATAAGTCTTAGTCAGGAGCATGGACATTGTATATGGTATAAGAAGAGGAAAGGCAGGGAATCAGATACACACTCAGGGGATTTGATCATGGAAGGATATGGGAGTTCTTTTCTGCTTCTAATTTTGGTGAAAAAGCAAGATTAGCAGCTGAAAGAGGGAGTGAGGAGATATGGGAGGAGGTTTGCAAGGGAAGAAAAAATTGGGAGATGATGGGCTGGGAAAGTGGACGTATTGGGAACAGTCACGTTTTGGGGGTTGCCAACAGCCCACTGAAGCTTCAAGACCAGTCAGAATGGTTGCGAGTTTTTCTCCAGGTATGTTCAGTTCCTTTTGCAGGTACAGAGCAGGATGGAGTCAAATTTAACGAGTACGGGGTTTTGCTTAGCAGATATGATGAAGACATTAGGCAAGGAATTATTCACAGCATTGAGCCATAGAATCTGTGCTGGAGAAGAGGATGAGCAAAAGGGAGGTTGATACTAAAAAAATGATAGAGCCAGTGGATTGAGGGTAACAAGAGGCAGAGAGTTGAAGTGAAGACACTAGTGTGAGTGAACTGGTGGTCAGATGGTGGGATGCTTGACACGGAGATTTTTTTTTTTTTTTTTTTGAGGAAGAGTCTTGCTCCGTCGCCCAGGCTGGAGTGCAGTGGTATGATCTGGGGTCACTGCAACCTCCGCCTCACAGGTTCAAGCAATTCTCCTGCCCTGCCTCCCATGTAGCTGGGATTACGGGTGCCTGCCACCATGCCCAGCTAATTTTTTTTCTTTTTTTTTTTGTATTTTTAGTAGAAGTGGAGTTTTGCCATGTTGGCCAGCCTGGTCTCAACTGCTGGCCTCAGATGATCCACCTGCCTTGGCCTCCCAAAGTGCCAGGTTTACAGGTGTGAGCCAACGCACCAGTGAAACTGAGATTTGGTATGGAAGGTGGACATTGGCACTACAGGGATAGAAACCCCTTCTTGGGGCCTGTGAACCTCAGGTGAGAATCCTTATATAGATTGGCAAAGTTCAAAATGTTTCTAAAAGTCTGATAGCACACTGTGTTGGTAAAGGTATGGGCCATAGGTACTCTCATCCATTGTTGGTAAAAACGTAAAGTGGTACAAACTCTATAGAGGGCAGACTGTCAATATCTTACAAAATTAATAAAAATACATTGTTTGACCCAGCAGTTCCACCTTTAGGAATTCATACAAAGAGCAGACTTTCATGCACACATTCACACACAATTTTGTACATATTCATTGTAGCATTGTCTAAAATTGAAATAAAAGATTGTGAGCAACTAAATATCAAAAAATAGGGGATTAAATAAAAGTCTTCTAAGACAGAATACTATACAGTTGTAAAATAGAATAAAGCATGGGCCGGGCGCGGTGGCTCAAGCCTGTAATCCCAGCACTTTGGGAGGCCGAGGCGGGTGGATCACGAGGTCAAGAGATCGAGACCATCCTGGTCAACATGGTGAAACCCCGTCTCTACTAAAACTACAAAAAATTAGCTGGGCATGGTGGCACGTGCCTGTAATCCCAGCGACTCAGGAGGCTGAGGCAGGAGAATTGCCTGAACCCAGGAGGCGGAGGTTGCGGTGAGCTGAGATCACGCCATTGCACTCCAGCCTGGGTAACAAGAGCGAAACTTCGTCTCAAAAAAAAAAAAAAGTAGAGAAAAGAGTCCATGCAGTGGCTCACACCTGTGATTGCAACATTTTGGGAGGCCAAGGTGGGAGGATCACTTGAGTCTAGGAGTTCAAGTGTACCCCAGACAACATGGTGAAACCCTGTCCTACTAAAAATACAAAAAATTAGCTAAGTGTCTTGCTGTGCACCTGTAATCTCAGCTACTCAGGAGGCTGAGGCAGGAGAATCGCTTGAACCCGAGAGGTGGAGGTTGCAGCGAGCCGAGATCACGCCACTGCATGCCAGCCTGGGCAAGAAGAGCGAAATTCCATCTAAAAGAATGATAATAATGATTATCATGGTACTAGCTATCTATTGGTATTACTGATGTGTAACAAATTACCCCACAACTTAGTGCCTTGAAATAACAACCATATATTATCACACAGTTTCAGGTGAGTGCACCAGACAGCTTAGTGTAGGGCCTCCAGCTCAAGGCCTCCCAGGAGGAAGCAGCTGTCTGCTGGTGAGACTGTGATTCCATCTGAGGCTCAGCTGGGAGAGGACTGGCCTCCATGTTCAGTCGCGTGGTTGTTGGCAGGCCTGAGCTCCTTATTGCTTGCTGGCCAGACGCCTCCCTCCTCAGTTCTTCGGCACGTGGGCTTCTCTGAAGGACAGCTCACAATGTGAAAGCTTGCTTTCCTCGGAGAGGAGAGAGAGAAAGGACAGAGGAGAGAGAGAGAGAAAGAAGGGGAGAGAGAGAGAGGAAGGAGAGAGAGAGAGACCGAGTACAGTGGCTCATGCCTGTAATCCCAGCACTTTGGGAGGCTGAGGCAGGTGGATATCGTGAGGTCAGGAGTTGGAGACCAGCCTGGCCAATGTGGTGAAACCCTGTCTCTACTAAGCATACAAAATTAGTTGGGCGTGGGGGTGTATGCCTATATTCCCAGCTACTCTAGAGGCTGAGGCAGGAGAATCGCTTGAACCCTGGAGGCAGAGGTTGCAGTTAGCCGAGATCATGCCACTGTACTCCAGCCTGGGTGTCAGAGTGAGACTCCGTTTCAAAAAGAGAGAGAGCGAGCCAGCCCAAGATGAAGCTGCTAACATGCCTTCACCTCTGCAGCACCGTATTCACTAGAAATCAGTCACAAAATCTACTCTGCATTCAAGAGGAAAAGAGTACACAGGGGGTGAAGACCAGGATGCAGAGACCCTTGAGAGGCAACCCAGAGGCAGA